CGTGCTAAACACCAATACTACCGACGCCAGGGAGGCAGCTCCAACACCTAGACCCTACCTATCGACCCATCAACTCATGAACCGGGGACCAAAAGCTTTACTTCCCTTCCGAGGGAAGGCGTGATCAGAGATGTTATGCCTCAGAACATTCAGGCGGCGCCGACTGGGATTGAACCCAGACCTGCTGGGGTGAGAGGTAACCCCGCTTACCACTACACCACTGGCGCCGCTGACCCATTGACTGTTTTCGGCAACCAAAATTCAAACGTTAATTTCACTGTATTTTCCCATCAAAACACTTCGCTTAATGTATTCTACCGATTCCTTAGTCTTCCAACTCCACTTTGATTTTAGTTTAACACGCAGTTCAAATGGAAAGGCTGCCGAAGAAAAAAAGGCTGCCGAAGAAAAAAAGGCTGCCGACAATAGTCACAATCACCTGAGAAGTTTGGAGCGTTGTAAAAACGTTTTCAAACAGTTTTGGACAATTCTGTCGATTGGAATATATAGAAAAGCAAGCAGCATATAAATGGAAACAAAGAAACACATCATATGTGTGCCTGACGCTGAGGAAATCCTAATTGTTGCCACAGGGGCACTTGCTCAACCGCCCGGCGAACTGGCAACCGGTCCAATCAACTGTGCCTAGCAGACCGCCAGTCTATGTGCGACGGGATGATCGACAGCATAAACGTCACCTAAAAAAAGACGTCATCCTTTGAGTCAAGCAGACGAAGAATCACGCGGGTGAAAAGTATTTTTCTTAAACTAGTGCCTAAATAGTTCGTTTCTTAATCTAGTTTCCTATTGTTGCGTACGGTAAATAATCCCAAATCCACAGGGTGAATTTAAACCTAATTATACTGATTTCTACCTAGACTAACACTAAAACTAGGACTAAAGCTAAGTTGGACAGCCAGTGAAAAGGCCTGTGAAGGAAGGGCCACTGATTTGTAAGTGGTAACCTATAAATCTAAACCTACATTGCTAAACTAACCCTAACTTAAATTTCTAGTTTGAAGCGATCCTAAAAGGAAATAAACGCTGTTCAATAACAGTGCCGCGCCTTTTTATTTGGCCGTACCAACATCTTCAAAAAATCATCGAGCAGTTGCCGGTTCCCGCAAGAGATCCGGAGATGGTACAGCACGGCGATTGTGTATCCTGCGACAATCCAGATGCCGATGAAAATTATGTGCAGTGCGATGGGTGTGATCTGTGGTGGCACTTTTCGTGTGCTGGTGTGACGGAGTCCGTCAGTGACCGAGCGTGGATGTGTTCGAACTGCACTGCATCACCACCACCAAATCCACCCCCACCAGGAAACATCTCTTCGAGCAGCTGTACAACCAACGTACAACGCAATCTTGCCCTGTTGAAGCAACGCCAGGAGCTCGAACGACAACGAATGGAGCATGAACTGCAGAAGAAATTTTTGGACGAGCAGTTGGAGCTGATGGACAAGGCGATTGAATCCCGGAGTCGGGTAAGCAATCGCGAACGACGAGAAAGAGTTGCCGATTGGATCAGCAATCATCCGGAGCAAGAAGACGGCGCGGTGGGTGGACAATCGAATCCACCAGCAGTCGCTCAGCCCGCGGATTTAAACGATCGCGACATAGTGACAACTTTACACGATCTCGAAAAGCAGCTTGAACGCTGCCAACTACAATCAATTCCAACCAGTCAGCAAATGGAGGAACTGCGACGTGAACTGCAGCAGTGCAAAAGGCAGCTTGGATTAGACCCAACCGATTGGAACATCAGCCCAACGATCGGTCAGAGGAATTTCCCGAATCTATCCAGCGACGTACAACAAGGTAATCAGCAGCCAAGGAACCTTGGTGCCTACCCGAAAACGCATGCCAATGAGGTTGGCGGTGCAGGTAAGAGTAATGTTAACGATAGTGGTTTCCTCAATAAAATGTACGGTGGTAATGTCCCTCATAAGTCCTTCGCGATCCCTTTCGAAACGGTTCCCATTGTTACGAGGGAACAACGGTTTGATTCTCGCGATTTCGGGCAAAATACCCTCGATAGTCGCCAACAGCAACGCATCCCCTTCGTCAACAACGAACAGCAGCGTGAACCCTTCGCGCGCACAACGAATATGAACGTACAGCCTACGTCGTTGGAGGAGTGGTATCATCGGCAGCAGCAGCAGCAGCAGCGATTGAACGCTAACCAGAACGGTCCGTCACCGCATCAGCTTGCCGCACGTCAATCGTTGGCGCGTGATCTGCCACAGTTTGCGGGTGATCCCGCGGATTGGCCTATGTTCATCTCCAACTACGAGTATACGACGGCGTCGTGTGGGTACACGCACGGGGAGAACATGCTCCGACTACAACGGTGCCTCAAAGGACCCGCTCTCGACCCGCTCCAAAGTCGGATAAGCTGGAAGGGCTGATCGAATATGGAATGGCAGTGCAAGCCCTTTGTGACCATATCGAAGCAGCCAACGAACATGCACACCTGTCGAATCCGATGCTTCTTCAGGAACTTATCGGAAAGCTACCAGCCGACCAGAAGCTTATGTGGGCCGGGTACAAGCGAAGTCTCGGCGTGGTGAATCTGAAGACATTCAGCAGATACATGGAGAACGTCGTCAGTGATGCATCTAGTGTGGTGCTGTTCGAACCGGAGTCTTGCAGGAGCAAGGACAAACCAAAGCCGAGAGGGTACGTTAATTCCCACACCGGGAACGCCGTTGATGATCAGCCGTCGGTAGCAAGCAAGTGAATCGAATGCATCTTCTGCAGTAAGGTGGGGCATCGGTTGCGCGAGTGCTCGGGATTCAAGATTTTGAATGTCGACGATCGCTGGCGAAAAGTTAGAGCTTTGTCGCTATGTCAGATTTGTCTATTCAGTCACGGAAGGCGGTCGTGTAGAAGCAACAACCGTTGCAATATCGATGGCTGTCAGTATCGCCATCATCCGTTGCTGCATTCAACAAGACGAACTGCAGCAGCTACTGCGCCAACAGAACAGGCAGAGAGTCATACTCATCAGTACCTCGGATCAAGCGTTCTGTTTCGGATCGTGCCTGTTACGCTTTATGGGCAAACTGGTGAGGTGAATACGTATGCTTTCTTGGACGAAGGATCATCGCTGACTCTGATGGAGAACGATATTGCAGAGCAACTCGGAGTAAATGGAACTACTCAGCCATTGTGCTTACGATGGACGGGTAATACGTCCAGAATCGAAGAAAAGTCGAAAGTTATCACCATCACTATCGGTGGAGCCGGTTCGCAGAAACGGTTCAAGATGTCGAACGTTCGTACCGTGAATAATCTTAACCTTCCCAGCCAGACCTTCCAATTGGTGGAAGCCGTGAAGCAGTTTGACTATCTCAAGCAGCTACCGATACAGAGCTACAAGAACGCCGTACCTAAGCTGCTGATAGGACTTGACAATCTACAATTAGCTGTTCCATTGAAGTCGAGGGAAGGTAACGGAAATGGACCAGTTGCGGTAAAGACCAGACTCGGATGGTGCGTCTACGGTAAGCAACAGCCTGGATCGAAAAGTGAATTCAGTTTCCACGTTTGCGAGTGCACGACGAATAAGGAACTACATGATACTGTCAAGCAGTTCTACGATCTCGAGGAAGTGGGAGCAGGAAATGTCACCCTACGATCTAAAGAAAAACAGCGAGCACTGGATTTGCTGGAACAGACAACGGTTCGTGTCGGTGAGCGATTTGAAACTGGACTGCTGTGGAAAGATGACGATGCGGAGCTGCCAGATAGCTACACGATGGCACTTCGCAGGCTGGAATGCCTGGAAAGGAGGATGTCACGGGATAAAGCGTTGAAAGAGAACGTTTTCCGGCAGATGCAAGAGTTCGTAAGCAAGGGTTACATTCATAAAGCCACAACGGACGAACTCGAAGATGCGAATCCTCGCAGAATCTGGTACCTCCCTGTGGGGGTTGTGACCAACTCGAAGAAACCAGGGAAAATACGCATCGTTTGGGACGCTGCTGCCAAGGTGGACGGAGTTTCACTAAACAGCATGCTGCTAAAAGGGCCGGACCAGTTGGTGTCGCTGTTAGGAGTATTGTTCCGCTTCCGGCAGTTCAAGATTGCGGTGTGCTCTGACGTGAAGGAAATGTTCTTGCAGATTCTGATGCGCGCGGCTGACAAGCATTCACAGCGAATCCTGTGGCGTTTGGATCCAAGTCAGGACCCGGAAATATTCCTGGTAGATGTTGCAACGTTTGGGTCGACATGCTCACCAGCGTCGGCACAATTCGTGAAAAATACGAACGCTCGGGAGCACAGTGTTCGATATCCCAGAGCAGCGGAAGGAATACTGCAGAGCACGTACGTGGACGATTACCTCGATAGCTTTGGGTCGGAAGAAGAAGCTCTTCGTATTTCTGAGGAAGTACGTCAGATTTTCCGGAACGGTGGGTTCGAATTGAGGAACTGGATCTCGAACAACGAAGGTGTTCTGGAGCACCTTGGGGAGACTCAAGCAGCTACCAGTAAAAGCTTAATAACTACGAGCACCACTACTGAACGTGTGCTCGGGATGTTGTGGGACCCAGTAACGGACGAACTATCGTTCAGCACTCGAATGAGCGATGAAGTTCAATCTCTCCTGGAAAATGACAAAATCCCAACGAAGAGGCAAGTGTTACGCTGCGTCATGACTCTGTCGCAGATCCGAGAAACTATCGACCGTTCGTGGCCAACCGGGTCGGCGAAATTTTCGAAAATACAACAGTCGATGAGTGGAGATGGGTTCCGTCGGGGTTTAACGCAGCAGATGAGGCAACAAAGTGGGGAAGTGGACCTTACTTCAGTAGTGACAGCAAGTGGTTCAACGGACCGAAGTTCTTGCGCTTCCCGGAACATGAATGGCCGAATTCTACGGATCTAGTCGTGGATACGGCCGAAGAAGTTCGATCGTCAGTACTCCTTCACGCAACTTGGGAACCTGTGATCGCCTACGAGCGTTTCTCTAAATGGGAGAGGTTGCAGCGTAGTATGGCTTACGTGCTACGATTCATTTTCAACGCGACCAAGAAGGGAGAAAGACGCAGTGGTCGATTAACTCAACCTGAGCTGGATGATGCCGAAAATGAAGTCCTGAAGCAGGTCCAAAGAGAAGCCTTTGCGGGTGAGGTAACGACGCTTAAAAATAATCAAGTACTACCGGAGGACAAGAAGGAATCGATTGACAGATCGAGCATCGTTTACCAACTGATGCCAATGATGGATGAACGGGGTTTGATGCGCCAAAACAGCCGGATTGCAGCGGCGAAGGATATTCATCACAGCGTGCGCTTTCCAGTAATCCTGCCAAGAAAGCATCGGTGCACGGAACTTCTGGTCGCACGCTATCATCGGCTCTACCGTCATGCAAACTCCGAAACGGTAGTGAACGAAGTCCGCCAGCTGTTCATCATACCGAAACTGCGATCGGTGGTAAAGCAGATTGGACGAAGCTGCCAATTCTGCAAAATTCGTAAGGCACTCCCGACTATTCCTCCGATGGCACCACTGCCACCAGCACGGTTAGCCGTACACAACCGTCCATTCAGCTACGTAGGAGTGGACTACTTCGGCCCATTGTTAGTCAAGCAGGGCCGCTCGAATGTGAAAAGGTGGATTGCGCTCTTCACTTGCTTGACTGTGCGCGCCGTTCACCTTGAAGTGGCATACAGCCTATCAGCTGCGTCATGTATTTGCTGCATCCGACGGTTTGTCTGTCGCCGAGGATCACCGGTGGAGTTTTTCAGTGACAATGCTACGAACTTCCATGGGGCTGAACGACAGCTCCGTGAGCAGATCAACGAAGGAGTATCAGCAACGTTCACCAGTGCCAACACGAAGTGGACCTTTATTCCGCCAAGCGCTCCGCACATGGGCGGTGCATGGGAGCGACTCGTCCGTTCAGTGAAGACGGCGATAGGGGATGCGTACCGCGAAGGAAAACTCAACGATGAAGAGCTGCAGACCTTGATCGTGGAGGCAGAGGGCATTGTAAACACCAGACCACTTACGTACATACCACTTGATTCAGCGGAATCAGACGCTCTTACGCCGAACCACTTTCTACTCGGGAGCTCGAATGGGGTAAAGCAGCCAAGCGTGGGTATCGAAGTTCAACAGCGGGCTTCTCGGGACTCATGGGACCGCATCCAGCGACAACTCAACCGGTTCTGGCAACGCTGGCTGAAAGAATACCTGCCGGTGATTCGGAAGCAGACTAAGTGGTTCAACGAAGCTCGACGTGTGGAAGTGGGTGACCTTGTGCTGATAGCAGACGAAGGCAAGCGGAACGGCTGGGTGCGGGGCATCGTGATCGAATCGATCAGGGCACCAGACGGCCACGTTCGCCAAGCTATGATCAAGACAACGAGAGGAGTTCTTCGTCGACCGGTATTGAAGTTAGCGGTTCTCGACGTTAGGAATAGCAGTGCGGTTATGGAGTCCAGTGGACCGCACCCGGAGGAGGATGTTGCCACAGGGGCACTTGCTCAACCGCCCGGTGAACTGGCAACCGGTCCAATCAACTGTGCCTAGCAGACCGCCAGTCTATGTGCGACGGGATGATCGACAGCATAAACGTCACCTAAAAAAAGACGTCATCCTTTGAGTCAAGCAGACGAAGAATCACGCGGGTGAAAAGTATTTTTCTTAAACTAGTGCCTAAATAGTTCGTTTCTTAATCTAGTTTCCTATTGTTGCGTACGGTAAATAATCCCAAATCCACAGGGTGAATTTAAACCTAATTATACTGATTTCTACCTAGACTAACACTAAAACTAGGACTAAAGCTAAGTTGGACAGCCAGTGAAAAGGCCTGTGAAGGAAGGGCCACTGATTTGTAAGTGGTAACCTATAAATCTAAACCTACATTGCTAAACTAACCCTAACTTAAATTTCTAGTTTGAAGCGATCCTAAAAGGAAATAAACGCTGTTCAATAACAGTGCCGCGCCTTTTTATTTGGCCGTACCAACACTAATAGAAGTGCGGATGCTGCTTAGATTTACGAGAATTCGTCAATTCCCTACTGTAGTATTTCTTAAGGTACCCATGGCTGTATCTTGGCTATCCTTTCAAATATTGAGGTGATTTCTTGTACTTAGAATAGGATATGCATTCCTTTAACTTGTCCCCTTCTACTCATTTCGATTTGCTCCATAGGGTGTAAAAATGTGGGGCATGTTGAAATGCTTCAAATGTTGCGGATATTGTTTGTAACTTCATTTGTATCCGGTCTTTTCTATGTTATCACTCCAACTAGCCTGCATATACTTCCCTAGTGAATAAAAACGGTAAAATACGTAAAATTCAACTTTTGTGCCGTAGATATCATATAAAATTTCTTATAATCAATACTCAGGAGCACGTCAAGCTGTTTGTAACTACAAGTGAACCTCGATATATCGTAACTGTCACTTTTGACCGTCATCGTAGATATCTCTCAAATAACAATTCAATCATATAAACCAACATTACCAATAGATGGAGATTTATCTCGACTTTCCGATGGAATCATTACGTTGCTTGATTGAATGATCGTTTGCGAGAAATCGGCTATATAAGTCAAAAGTTACATTTACGTTATATCGAGGTATACACCTGGGTTGACAGTCATAGAATGCGTTTACGGTTATATTATACTGTTAAGATAATCACAGCGATTACTCAGTTCCGCATATCGTTACGGCTTCCATTTCAACTTACCCCGCATTTCAACTTGCTCCGGTGTACCTTACTTAAAACATACACAAGCATAAACTAGAATAAATTTTTGAAGAATATTTCATCGAGATTCGTTGAAATTTGACGAAAAAACAAAAAAAAATTTTTTTTTTTATTTTATTTACCGACATCAACTGAATGTAAACGCGTTGTCTCCGTAGCCGTAAATATTTCCAATATTTGTGGGAAATCATTTTTTTAATTTCCGATTCCCGAGTAGATGGAAACTCTAGTCCAGAATAGATGAATCAAAAGCTTCGATCTATGCATGATTCATGTGGCGAACGGATGATTTTCAAAATCGCTAAAACCTTGTCTTATCATTTTCGTATCGGAATGGTAAATCAAGTGAAACCATGGGACGGATATGCGATAATGGACAGTGTACTTGCGGATACAACACAAAGTAGTAACTGAAAAGAAATGTGACAATCTATTCAATTAGCCAAGATCAAATGCACACAAAGCAGTGAAGACAAAGATCCATAATCCTAAACAAGGCAAAGCATCGAATTTCTATGCCACACTTGAACCTAACCCCGAATGGGCAAACGAAATTGAATTGAGTCATTTTTGCTGTCCTAAATTTAAGATTACATCAAAATCAAACCCACTTCAACTTAATCTGTTGTCAAGTGCCTCCATTAAGCCCCAACTATCCGAACCTTTTCATTTCATTCGATTGCGCTGAAAAGATTGAAACTAACCACCACCATACAAGCGTTATCTGCCCAAAGTACACCATAATTTCCTACGACCATTACCCTAACGACATTGTTATTTACACTTATAAACAACGCAACAACGACGACGATGACGACGGCCACCAGTAACCGCTACAATCGTTTTAAGTGATTTCCAAGTCCCAATGCCAACAAATCCAATCGTAACCGAACCATTTACTGGCTTACCCAATCCACCTCTGCGATGGACGTTGGAAAACGGTGGAGAGTCAAGCCACATGGCCACACCAATCCCGGAGGGTCTCTTGGCCAAACAACAACTTAATACTTCATTTGTATTAATAACATGATAATTTTGCCATTAAAATCATAAAAATAATCATTCTCGCTTCGATTCGATTCGGTTTTGTCAGTCGCTGTATGTAGCAGTAAATAGTGTAGGTATCTTACGGAAGAGAAAGAAATTGGCAAGGGGAAGCTACTTCGAGGAAAAGCTATCGGATTTGCGTTTCACGTCTCACCCGGCGCCATTGGATTGATTGGAGGAAGTACTTACAAACTAGGCTGGTCTGGAATGTCAAACCGAAAACATAAGTTCCTAATTTAACTGTTGTTCTTCCGTACCAGTCTGCTACCGTCGAAAGTACCTAGAAGGAAATAACAGGGTGAAGCAAAGTTGCTTGTTTGCGCGATATTGTTACGAACCGGACAGCGATGACCACGACCAATGCCGTAGTAATGGCCACCGCAGTCAGTAGTCCGAGCCATTGGGGACTGCCGAGAGTATGCGCCTGTGCCTGCGTCGTCCTCGTCGTAAGTAAATCTAAATCGCTTCCAACGGTCATAATGTCTAATGGTCACGCTTCTCTGATGTATCTTTATTGATATTGCTTTCCATATTGTCATATCGCCTTCCCTCTTGGACTCTTTCTCCAGTCTGGTTATTGGAAACTACACACTATGCACGGGGCATCGATGTGGCGATGAGGCGGATATGCCATATGGATCTGCTATTCCGATCTTATGTATGGAGTTGATGCTGGGCAGATGGTGATTTTCGGACGTGAGTATTCTGTGAGATCACGGAATCGGTTATCTAATAGAGGAATCTAGCAGATTTTTTATTTAAATTTCATCGAAAATTATTAGCAAATGTGACAAAAAAAATACTTAAAGGGGCAACACAGTAGGGGTTTTAGGGGTAAGACGGATAGTTGATTATTTGATGGCTTAACTATTGAATAATAGGTTTTATGTTTGTGACACAATTATTGTCGCTGTGCAATTCCTAAGGTTGTAATGCACCAAAACAATAAAATGCTCACAACATTGATCACTATCCTGTTCTTGGTTTACTTCTAGATTGTTTGCTGAAATAAGTAATGAAATTTTCTTTTTCTTATCTGGCAAGAGATGGAAGCAGCTATCCGAAGTATGAATTCCACCAAGGCTCGCATATCAGCAGAGATGCTCAAAGCTGACCCAATGCTATCCACGTAAATGTTGCTTCAACTATTCTGCAATAACTGGGCCACCGCGACTTTTCCGGCTGACTAGATGCAGGGCGTGTTAGTGAAGGTCCCTAAGAAGGGAGATCAGTCTGTGTGCTAAAACTGGTGCGGCATTATGTTACTGCGTGTTGTTCTTAAAGTTCTGTGCAATGTTATCCTGAATCGGATACAGGATAAGAACGACGCGACTCTCCGGCGACGCCAGATAGGATTCCGTGCCGGAAAATCTTGTGTGGACTATATTGCCACGTTTTGCATCATCCTGGAGCAGTTCAACGAACTCCAAGAGCTCCTCTATTTAATATTCATTGACTACGTAAACCTCATCGAAGCACAGTACGAGGCTTTCACATAAGTCCTGCATAACGAAGCGTTGTCCGACCCTATCGGGGTAGTCGCAGGTGTGAGGCAAGGATGTATACCATCACCGCTACTGTTCTTCATCGTAATAGACGAGATCATGGTAGGTGCAATTGACTGTGTACCGAATCGTGGAGCACCTATGGAGCACCTCAGCGACTTCGATTTGAATGATTATGTTTGAAAAGACTAAATCGTTGGATGTCAACACGGACAACCCTTCCAACTTTACGGTAGGGGGGCAGTGGAGAAAGTCGAAATTTTCCAATATCTTGGCAGCCAGATAGCGTCAGACGGTGGGACCAAGAGCGACATAGGCGCACGAATCAAGAAGGCTAGGGCTGCTGTTTCGAGCTCAAGAAATGTATTGGGATCTAACCAAATAAGCTACATCTAGTCATATTTTCCAGTACTTATGATCAAATGCAATATTTAAAACATAATTTTACCGTTGAGAACTTGAATACATTCATAGCAGTGGTCTTTCGTTAGGATATGTGGAATGAAATCAGATGGATCTCATATGCGAGTACATTTTGAGTCAAACGCAAAAGTACTCGCATACCAGTCATATTATTCACTATCGCTTGTTTTGTTATTTTGAGCGTAGTAGCATCGTCTGACATGATCGGACTACAGTTGTACTACTTACCCCTCAAGGTAAATTTTCTAGCTACACCAATGCTACTCTTTTTTTTTCAGAGGAGCGGAGCAACGGTCAAGCGTCTAGAATAAGCTTCTAAAAGAAGATTCTATAAAAACTACTAAAGCAGATTCTAAAAGAAGTTAAAAAATAAACTTAAGAAGGTTTTAAAAGTTATCTCCACCAACAAATTTCAGGACCACCAGTTTGCGTTTGGCTTTAAACGTTAGCAGTTAAGCTCGTGCCGTGCTCTTTGTGTACATTTTCTTCTTCTCTTGATTACTTCGCGCTGGCGTTCCGCCTCCCGGACGAAAGGTGCTTGTCGTGTTTGTGCGTTGAGGTTGTGTTTCAGAAATTTAATTGAAGTGTACCGCGACCGATATTGGGCTATTAGGCCACAGCCGCTAGACGCATTTGTTTTCGGTCGCTGAAGTTGTCGGTTCTGATTTCGCCGTTCGTCGTGAGTTGATTCGACTGGTGAGGAGCTGGCGATGCGTCTTACAGACTGTGTACGGGTGAACTGAAGCCGTTGTATTGCGAGTGATTAGTGATGGAAAGTGGATCCTTCTAATAAGGAGCAGCTAGAGTATGCTTCGCGGTTGATGGGGGTTCACGC